TGAAAACTGGAAAACATCTCAAAGCAATAGATACTTGATGGACATAGAAATTCTGTAGGCCTTTATTCTATCTAACAGAATGAGATACTAAAAGCCCTCATCTTTGATATCAGGAGTTGATCATCCTCTTCTTTTCTCTTAACAAAGAGAGCTTTAACTCCTCTGACTTCTGTGAAGAGGCTTCCAGTTAAAAAGCTGCTTAAGCAAAACCAGAATCAGGCCCTGCACAGTCAGGATGTGAGAGGAAAGCTTTCTTGGTGTCTTAATCAAGGAATGCTCCCAAAGAAGAAACATACAATCTATGATGAAGCAGTAGAATGCATCTATTAACATATTTACTTCCCCAGTAGCGATGTTTTTCATGTGACCCCTTTCATTTTTCAGATGAGTGATTTTGGGATCAGGAACATGGATCAAGTAGCTCCTGTGTCAAACATGTACAGAGGAGTGCTCAAGGTGAGTTTTCTTGAGATAGTGGCTTCTAAAACCAAGTGGTCTAGTCTCTCAGTTAGTGCATGCATGATGTTCTTATTAATGTTAACAGAGGACTTGTACAGCCATGCCAGCATAAGCGCAGATACATGATTTTTTCACAGTTTACTTGTGAACTCCAGATTACTTCTAGAGTATTCCCACTCAATTGTTAAGTGGATGTGTAAACAAGCAGCAGTGAAGCAGGAAGACACAAATCTTATACCCCCCTGAGGTGCACCCAGGAAGTTCTTTTTTTTCCCCCCCTACATCCTAAGAATCTGAAAATAAGAGGTAGACAAGAACTGATCTCAAGTTCATTGAGGTTGGTGGAAGTTCTGTGTAAATAAAGTCATGGGACTGGCAATACAGGTGGTATTTATGTATTTAACTTTATGAGACTGAGAGAGCCATGTTCTGATATGACTAGTCAAGTCTGATTCATTCAAGAGTAGGTTTTTCACTTATTAGATGCAACTATATCAAATGGAAGTCCAGTACAAGGTGAGAAACCAAAGGTAAACACGTTTTTTCATTAGATAGATTGTTATCGTGCTTTGAAAGGAACTTGCAGACTGAGGACCAATGAGAAACAGACTGTGAAGACTCATCTTGTAACAGTCTGTGTTTTTGCCCCCACCCTCCCATTCCTGCAAGTTGCTTTTTATCCCAGGATTAATTTTTTTTCATAGCATAGATCAATGTAAACTAAATGAAGACAAGGAAGATGCTTTCTGCTCTCATTAACTTTGAGGAGTGTCAGTGTTTTGAAGAATCCGTTAATGAGTCTTTGGTATTCTGACTTCTGTGATGTTTTACGTCCTCTCCTAACTTTTTTCCTGCTCATAGCAACAGCAAAATCGCCAAAAGATCCTCCGACTTAACAGCTGTGTACTCTTTCACACAGTAGTTGTTCTAAGCACTTACTCAATGATCACAATTGTCATACAATCAAGACACTATTCTACTATTTTGTAGCCATTCCCATTTCTTCTTAAGTTGTTCTGTAATAATTATCCTTATATATATTTAAAAGACAAATAAAATGGTCGTGACTAGGGCAAGCAGAATTTCTTCCATAATGGGTTTGCCTTTATTACAATTAAAACAGGAACCTGCTTAAACGTTTTATGCTTTTTGAAATATGAAACTAGTACAGTATGGATTTTACTCATTCACATGCCACAAGATTTTTTCCAGTGATTCAGGATAAGGGTCAGCTATTTACACAAAAGACAGGAGTTTCCAGATTATGTTGAAAGAACTTGCCCTTTCTTCTAGGTACTAGTGATGAGTCAGTGCTTTTTATCTAGTAATGTGTAAAGAATTTTTTACTAGCAAATTTGGTGACTATTCTTAATTTGTTTCATTTGGATGTGAGCTTTTTCATGGGTTTACTTTGACTCTCTCCTAAACTTGTCAAGGGTACCTGAACAGACTCCACAATTTATCTCCGCTTGCCAGCTCTAAATAGAGGTTTCTGAACCCAGGTAACCCTTAGAGGCATGATACTGTTTCCTTTACCAGCTTTTTCTTCTGTGGATTGTATACGTTCATAACTTATACTGGGATGCATAGCAACTTGCTATAAAATGCAACTGAAAAATTACAGCCTCTGGTTTCCTACTACTGTTATTGGGGCTTTGTTTGTTTTAGATTAAAAGACATCTGGTGCGAAAACACTCCAAGCCCCTTAAAACCTTGTAGGTTTTAGCTAGGGAATTCCAGGAAGACTTAATATTTATTTGCTATTCCAGAAACATGGTTCAGGTTGCCATTGCATAGCACATGAATACTGACCTGAAAAATCTTGGCCTTGTCCTCAGCTAAATTCTCTACCTTGGCGTAAGCCAGCATACCAGTGGATGCCTAAAACAAATACGCATTTGCAAGTTGCCAGGGTCTCTAGCTCCCCAAACTGCAGTAGCTGCCATGTACTTGCTGTAGCTTTTCAGAACAATATTCAATCCTCAGGTGCGTTTAAAATCTCAGTGGCAATTTCTACTCGTTCCTGCCTGTAGTTATTACAGATACTGTTTCCTTGTGACTAACGTGCAAGTTGCATAAGTTGTTTTTAAGGTTGATTATTTCCTTTTCTTCCCCTCTCCCCACCCCCAAAAAAAGACTTAAATGGCTGGAGGGATCTAAGTAATAGTATTTTACATCTCTGTCGTACATGACTGACACAAGTCAGGTTTGAAAGAGGTCTTTGAAAGTTACATAAATCCACTGTAGGTTTGGCACTGGCAGGTTTTTTTGCCATAATTTACCAGTCCTGCCTCTGTTATAGTTTGTGTTCGTCAAGGTGGTAGTAAATGTAAAGGGTTAAGGAAATACTAGGTTTTCTTCCAAATATATCCGGAAGTCAGTCATTTCAAAAGTTAGTATATATACATGCATTCTCTATTGTTAGAAAGCCTCAATTACAGGAAGGATTAAAATATCCTTGCGTGGCTTTACTGTAACCTGCAGATCATGCCATACAACTTGCACTATAGTCTGAATGTTACTTGTTTCATTTTAATGTACCAGAAGCTATACTGTCGTTATGTTTATTTTTCAAAGGCACAAGTCGGTCGATTCAAAATAGTGACAGTGCATGATCTCCAAATCTAGGAAATCTAACCAGCCACTTCCTAGCAGTTCTTTGCAGTGCACTAGCAAATTGCTCACAGTATTTTTTATTTGTTTTGTTGCTTTGCAGCGTCAACCAGCATTTGACACCGTTGATAGTTCAAGCTCTCTCTTTGCTGGATATTTTTTCTCACTAAATGAAGATCAAACACTTCAAGAAGTGCCAACAGGATTTGATTCTACTTCTTATGGTACCTTTTTGCTTTGTTCTTTACTCCAATCAGCAGCTCAAAAAGATAACTGGGTGGTCTAACTAGCATTTTATCGCTATCTTCTTACAAGTACAACATGAATTTCCCTAAAAAAAGTGTCTTAGTAGACAAGAGTCTGTTTATGTATTTGGATTCTATCTACGCGAGCTGCTCTGTTGATAGTTGCTGTTCTCTGTACTGTTCTTCTGTACTGAACGGGAAGGGGAACTGGGATTCGTTAGCCTAAGCTGTCTATGTAAGAAGCTTTAGCAGATACTAAAGCAGGGCTAAGGGTGTTTTACATGTCTAAATTCTGAAAGTTTTATATGTATTTAAGCTTATATTTTAATTTTGCCTGAGATGTTTTAGGTACTCTGCAAGCTGCTGTCTTGACCCTCTGATGTTAATTCCCAGGGAACAAAATCCTTGTTCCTTTTCCCTTTCTAGGGTTTGTTTTATGCCTCACCTTAAAAATAGGGGAGGAGGTGTTTACAAATATTTTTAGTAGGACAGTACATAACCAAGAGTTCTCTACAAATCCTTGCCAAAACTCCCTAACTAGCTTTTTTCCTCTAGAGGGAGGAAAAAAAAAAAAAACGTAGATAACTTTCCTGGTGCTATCTTTATCTCTCCTTAGGTAAGTGGAAAAAACCTCAAATCTCCAACAGCCACTAGCCTTTTGTTCTAATGTGAGATTCTAATCAGTCACTAGCCCTGGTCAGCAAAGCAAGTCCTAGCAGAGATTGAGGATGGGTGTGGTAAAAACAGAAGCTAAGCACACACTGGTAATGAGCTCCACTTGCTGGGTCAAGTGGAGCTTGTACATAGTCAGGATCTAGGAAAACTAGAAGAGCAGAACAGCTTCATGAACTGGTCTGAAGTCTGATAACGCATCACGTTTATGTACCCTGTCACGTTACATGCCTCAAAGAGTAACATAGCAGAGGTTCTTCAAATGCAGTATGTGTGCTAGTTTTCGGAGGCTCTCTGAAGTGTTCAGAGATGCAGTGGTGAGATGGATAAGGCATCTTCAGTTGCCCCCCAGTTTAATGACGTCAATCACAAAGTATCAGTAAAAGTTTTATTACATTGAAACATCTATGTGGTATGGTTGGTTTTCTTCCACTTGGGGGTTCTTTCAGAGTTAAATGAGGCATCTTCAAGTGAAAATTGCCTAGTAAGAAAGATTGGATGGAGGTCAAATTTGTTCTTAAAATAGACTCTATTTGTAAACCTAAAAAAAATAAGAAGAGTGAGTTATACAAGTCAGTAATTTATAGGCATAGGATGATACTGATTTTTGAATTGTATTGCATTGTTTAGACGCTGGGCACCAGCTTGCGACCAGTCACATTTGTTCGGTTCGGTTGACTAAATAAGCTATAACACTGTGTGCCTGAGTGACTGAGAGATGCATGGGAAGGTCTGAAATGGAGTCCATTGGACAGTAGTGTTGAATATCCTTGCAATCTGGTTTTTCACAAGCCTACTATGAATTACTTAGTTCTCAAACTAAATGAGGACTGCCTGGAGGCAACAGGAAGTCTGAGGTCAAGCTGTAGATGAGAAAATAGGAAGAAGCAATCTCATATTTTCTAAAAAAAAAAAAAAAAAAATAATTTCCCTGCAACAAAGGCATGCTGTGTAACTATTGAGAGTCAGTGAGGATCTATATCATGGAAAGCTGCAAAATTTTATTGCTGCAAAGCTTTATTTTAGCATGATCTAATTTTATCAACTCAATATGACAAAAATATGTTACTGTTGACATATTCAGTCAAAGACAGGACAATCTAAAAATGGACCTACCTGTTTTGTTTCTGTTTTAAAATGCATAGTTTCTAGTATCCTTTTTTATTCTTCAAGTAGTATGGCAAAAACCTCTTTCATTGGCCTAAAAGTTAACATATCTTCTCTTCCCTCCACCCCTTTTCTTTCTTGCAGAGTCAAACAACTGTGAATTGCCTCTGTTAACCCCATGCAGTAAGGCTGTGATGAGTCAGGCCTTGAAAGATACTTTCAGTGGTTTCACAAAGGAACAGTATCGACTTGGTATCCTGTAACTATTGAGAGTCAGTGAGGATCTATATCATGGAAAGCTGCAAAATTTTATTGCTGCAAAGCTTTATTTTAGCATGATCTAATTTTATCAACTCAATATGACAAAAATATGTTACTGTTGACATATTCAGTCAAAGACAGGACAATCTAAAAATGGACCTACCTGTTTTGTTTCTGTTTTAAAATGCATAGTTTCTAGTATCCTTTTTTATTCTTCAAGTAGTATGGCAAAAACCTCTTTCATTGGCCTAAAAGTTAACATATCTTCTCTTCCCTCCACCCCTTTTCTTTCTTGCAGAGTCAAACAACTGTGAATTGCCTCTGTTAACCCCATGCAGTAAGGCTGTGATGAGTCAGGCCTTGAAAGATACTTTCAGTGGTTTCACAAAGGAACAGTATCGACTTGGTATCCCAAATAGTAAGTTTTTTCTATTTATAAGCTCTTTTTTAATGCTAAGGAGGATGCTGAATAAATGGTTCTTTTAAAAGAGAAAGAGTGATGTCTGAATGAAATACAAGAATGGATCCTATGTGAATCTGGCACAGCTTTGCTTAGAAAGACTAAACTTGCTGGTATGAAAAATGGGTGCATGGAGAGCTCATATTTTGGCAGCATAAGAGAGAATCAAATAAACTGAGGACATATATCCTCTGAGTAACGGGAACTACAGAAGGAAAACGGAGCACTGTTTTTAAATTCAAGAATAAATTAATTCTGATGCCTAAGCTTCAGAACTAAGTAACCTGGATTAACAAGTCTTTCATTCACTGCCTTTTAATTAAGATTGTTTGGGGAGGATTTACAAAGGTCAAGTGTTATCTCTATATGCTGGACACTTTCTATCTTGCAGATCCCTGGCTATGGACTGAACAGCAGGTTTGCCAGTGGCTTTCATGGGCTACCAATGAGTTTAGTTTGGTAAACGTGAACTTTCATCAGTTTCTTATGAATGGCCAAGACTTATGCAACCTGGGCAAGGAGCGTTTCTTGGAATTGGCACCTGATTATGTGGGTGATATTCTGTGGGAGCACCTGGAGCAGATGATAAAAGGTAGATATAAAGCCACAAAGAGCTTCTGTTCCGAGATTCTTCTAACAAAGAGAGGAATAAGACTCTTTCAACACTTACTTAACCGTGAGGGAGTTTCTATTACATAAGAAAACTCGAAACGAACTCTAAGACTTGGTTAATAAAAGTATTATCAAAAGTATCTAATATCTTGTGTAAGCAGAGCACAAATGCAGATATATGCAGAAGTATTTCCTGCTCAGGCTGAGTACCCGTTGCAGTCAAGTTTTATTTAGATCAGTTACTGAAATAAATGAGATCAGGATAGGGCTCCTACAATGCCTCATTTAAAAATATATCTGTTTAATCAAAAGCTGGACAAAACTTGGTCACTTCATATTACAAGCATTTTGTTTTGTTCCTGAAAGGTAGTGTTTTGAGATAATTCAGTGAATGAATGTAAGGATGTCAAGGAGGTTTGGGGGTGGTTTTAGGTGAACACTAATGATGCTAAAACTCTACATGCAGTGATCTATGCATTCAGTTGGTTTTGGAGGATAAGATTCAGCAGCTGCCTGTGTGCAGGATCTGGACCTTAATACACACTGCCGTTGTTTTTTGGTGTTTGGGGCTTGTTTTGTTTTATATTTCTCTGTAAATTATGTTAAGGATAAAGATTCAACTGCTGTGATATTTTACCTACTGGGAACTGCCTCTTTTGAGAGTTTGATGCAGCGTGTTAGTGAAATTCATGTGAATGGTGTCCCCAAAATACTCAAGAGAATTAGAAGCTTCCCATGGCATACAAGTCCAATCTATAAAAACGAGAATTTCCCTTTTTTTTTCCAGACAGCCAAGAGAAAACGCAGGATCAGTATGTGGAGAACTCTCATCTCACCTCAGTTCCTCATTGGGTCAATAATAACTCCTTAAGTAAGTATTCTAAATAGTTTGATGTTTTAGATCTGTTATCTTTATTCTAGGAATGTCACAGATCCTAGTAAGAAAAAACAAAAAGCTACAACAGAATAGTTACTGTCCTTTAGGAAAACACTTAACTTCAAATGCTCCTGCCTTTTCTAGTATTGTTCGTCTAATTCATGTCAGAAACCTCTTGAAGGGTGAAGGCTATGAAAAGTCAGACTTTCTTCTGGTATGCCAAAGCCTACATCTGTGGAACAGAATGACCAGTCCTGGCACTAGCAGGCTGAATCAAAAAGTAGTATCGCCAGGAACAGCAAGGGTCATGGTTAGGCCTTTTTCAAGGCTATGGAGGCATAACAGAACTTTTGAAAATGTGTGGCATAACTGCAGAGACTTCTTGTTACCTTAGATTATTTGTTTGGTGCTGTATTTGATTGTCCCATAGTAAATCTCTAGCTCAGCATCATTACATCTGTTAATGATGAGAGCCTACTCAAAACCACTGAGGCTTCTCCAGCTTTTTCTGTTGTCCTGCCGTTTCCCTGAAGAACAAACAGTGCATTAGGTTGGTGGTCTGTAAGTTGTAGAAGGAGATGTACAGAGCCTGATTTGGAGGCCATTAGATGGAAATCTCCCTGACCAGTAGCCTTTCCAGTCTGTCTGTAGCATCACTTTTTCCCTAGCCAGACTTTCATGGAAAAAATATTTCTTAGCAGCCCAGCTATAGTGGAATGCCTGATGTTTATTAGCCTGTTTAAGGGACAGCAGAGAAAATATTTAATTCATTCTTTTTTTTTTTTTCTTCCCTCCTTCAGCTGTTAATGTGGATCAGGCCCCCTATGGTATGCAAATGCCTGGATACCCTAAAGCCCTCAGTTACCCTAAACCCAGTATCTTGAGTGACATCTGTCAGACTTCCACGGGACCAAATCTTCTCAATCCAGAACAAGAGTTTCCGTTGTTCCCTAAAACCCAAATAGATGCAGTTGGTGTGAACTATTGTGCAGTAAACCAAGACTTCACGAGAAGCAATCTGAACTTGCTCATAGATAATTCTGGTGAGACATTACCCGTATGATAACCATGGGTCTAAGGCCATTATCTGCATGTTTTTCCCCTCCTTTGCATAGTTCATATATACAAGCTAGATGCGGGGCGGGGCGGGGGGGAGACACTTCTCTCTTTCTTTCTCTTATTTATTTTTTCCCCTCCTCCTTAAGGCAAACTTAGAGAACACGAATCTAGCGACAGTGGTGCAGAAAGTTATGAAAGCTCAGATTCGATGCTACAGTCTTGGAACAGCCAGTCATCATTAGTGGACTTACAGCGTGTGCCATCCTATGAGAGTTTTGAAGATGACTGTAGCCAGTCTTTGTGTCTGAACAAACCTACAATGTCTTTCAAAGACTATATTCAAGAAAGAAGTGATCCTGTAGAGCAAGGGAAGCCAGTTATACCGGCAGCAATTTTAGCTGGCTTTACAGGTAAGCAATGAAACAAAATGGTCACTCCTCTTGTTGTGTAACTTCAATATTCTCTATAAATGTGTATCCGTGGTGATAAAGTTGTGTAGTTGTAAGGTAGTCTCACACTGAGAGACAACTGCTTATGACAAGTTTTCAATTTTAAATGTTACTAAAGAAAGTCTCATTGGACTATCCATCTAAAGTAAGAACAGGTAGGTACATCAAAACGCCATCAAAAGGGAATGTATTTTTTACCTTTTATCTGTTTGTCAAAGGTTCCCTCTTTTTCAGTCTCCCATACTTTGGGAGATGTTGGCTTGGCCATGAGAAGCTCATTCTTGTAGTCCTTGATGAAATCAGTTTTCCCTCTAGGATGTTTGCTGAGTCAAGTATTGTAGCACAGGCCCTGAAGCTTGACTACAGCTGCTAGGAGACGGGAGTGAGGGATAAGGAATCTTATATAAAAGAGAAAGGCATATTTTGTTTTCATGAGAAAGCTGGCTTGATTTTAATTTAATTTTAACATGCTTGTGAGCAGAATTAAGTTACAGAGAAAGTCTTAGAATTAGTTTTCTTTTGATACTTAAAAAGAAAAGGGGGGGAAAAAGGCTATCAGAGTAATTAAAAGATTTTTCCTATGATGTGAGTATGGCTATATTCATTAGCTGTTGTAAGAGCTTGCAGGAGTGTTAACCGTGTGGTTCTCCCCGTACCCAACAGGCAGTGGACCTATACAGCTATGGCAATTCCTTCTGGAGTTACTGACTGACAAATCCTGTCAGTCATTTATTAGTTGGACTGGAGATGGATGGGAGTTTAAACTTGCTGACCCAGATGAGGTATGTAGCTAATTGTGATGAACAAGATTTAGGCCTCTGCGGACCTATTCTTGAAAATAAACCATTTTCACAATCAGACACTTGCTGAAATCTCTTCATCTGTAAATGTTTTTATCATATGGTCAGAATTGCTGTGGGTTGTTTGTTTTATTTTTTGTTTTCCCCTCCCTCCGCTCCAAGAATATCAGTATTTGCTTATAGTTATGAGAACACTTTGTATAGCTTGAAACTTAAAGGTAGTATACAAAATAATTTATTTTTGACAGTATAAGTAATACTGTAAATTAGTTTACTGAATTTAATTTAATCAACAATACTTGAGATTGCAAAAAGGCATGGGGCAATTACACCAGATATTCTAAGCTAAGATATTATAGTGCTGCTTTTAAAATACCTACTTTAGTCATTGGAAATAACTAAAATGTGCTTTAACTTTCTACTGTTAACTGTATCAGAAAATGATTGTATTAAGAGGCATGATACAAAGTTCACTGAAGCCTTAAAAAGGAAAGAAAGAAAGAAAAAAAAAAAAGTAGGGGGAGTCATTAAATCCAAGGAACTCCATATAATTCAACTTTCACTTAAAGAATTATCCCGTGCTACTCAATGGCATATTAACTCTTTCACAGCATCCTCCTTGAGAGAGGGGACTGTATTTCAGTTAAATTTGTTTTCCGTAAACAGTTTTGCAGCAATCGTTGTCATGAGCCCATCCACTGCAATCAGTATCCTTTTAATTGAAATTTGCTGTCAGCTACTTTCTGCAGTTCACCTTAGTCAAACTGCTGCCAATGGTTGCTTTGGAGTTTGTTCAGTTGAGGGTTCAGTCACCAACTCTTCTGTTACCCAAGTTCAGGACATTAGAAGCAAATAAAGTGCTCTAACTGACAAAAAGGTTTTAATAGCAGCATCTGTCAGCCACTGACTGGAAGAACGTGACTTGAATAAATGCTTTACACTTTGCTTTCTTTTTGGACTGACAGGTGGCACGGAGGTGGGGAAGAAGGAAAAACAAGCCAAAAATGAACTATGAGAAACTGAGCCGAGGCCTACGCTACTATTATGACAAGAACATCATCCACAAGACTTCAGGGAAACGATACGTATATCGCTTTGTATGTGACCTACAGAACTTGCTGGGGTACACAGCAGAAGAACTTCATGCGATGCTCGGGGTGCAGCCCGACACAGAAGACTGAGCCTACTGATCTCAGGCTGAACTGGCAAAGATCACATGTTGGAACTGTGACTGGGAACCATCTGTGGTCAGTTCTTCTGACTGCTCAGATTGGTGCAACTGTTAAGAAATAAGGACCTTAACTGATTTTGTAACCAGGGAAAGTTAGAAGGAAATGGCCTTATTTCATCAGTGGCTTCAGATGTGGCCATGTCGGGCATTTGAGCAGCATGGAAGTCAGCACAGATCCTAGCTCTGTCACGAAGATGCAGAAATGCTCCAGGGCTAAGCATTTCGGCTACTTACACTGCCATATAAAGCATTTTGGCTACTTACTGCCATAAAATAATGGGTTGGCTTTAAAACCAAAGGTTGGATGAGAAACCAGTGATGCAGCAGAATTATTGTTCAGATTTTTAAAATATCATCCTTGCTTATATCATGCAATTTATTTAAAAAAAAAAAAACAAAACTAATTTATTTTAAAAGAGCAGTAAGAAGAATTGGTATTAAGTGTTTTCTTCTAAGGCACGTTTTACTGTCAATATTACTCCAGAAATGTGCTGCATAGGTACATAAAGAGTCTGTGTCCAAAACAAGATGTAGCAACTGTTCAAAAAAACAACACAAAAGCCCTTTTAAGAAGGGAAGGAAAATCATACCATTTCAATATTCAGTTTGTATATATTCTGTGATTCTTTTTGAAATTCTTTAATATTCCTATTTAACAGATATTGTATAGTGTAAATTAAACTAACTGTACGTGTCTTGAACTAGGACGAATGTAAACTTAACAAATGGTTGTTTCATGTTTGTCTAGGATATACAACCTTCTGAAAATATTTAAGTGGCCTGAGAGACAGCATAAGTGCTCAGCATGCATGCATATGGTATGCCTATCACATGAAATGTGTAAGGGGCGGGGGTTGGCTAAGTATTTTGCCAAGACCGACGCTGGCAATTCTTTGTGCATTTTGGCATTTTTACAAGAAACTAATATTATATTCTGGGACATAAAGGGCCTATTCGTGGTTTCTTCTGTAACTGAAAATGAAAATATTAATATGGATAAAATTACCTTTTTTTCCTTTAAAAATGGCATATGTTTTTCAACTTCTATGCATGTCCTTTTCAAAAAATTTATATACAAGCCTATTTTTTCAGTTGACTTGTCTCTTCTTCCTGCAGTTTATCCTGTATGATTAAAATATGAATTCTATTTTTGGAAATAACTGTGACTCCTTTTCAAAGATCAGGAGGGATTTATGTAGCAGCTATTTTTACTGCAAAAAAAACAATTCACTGGAAAAATGTACTTTGTAAGAAAGCTTTATTTTTTATCTGAGCTTGATGTACATTTAAATGTGTTGTATAGTGTGAGAGGTTTAAAAACATGAATCCTTATTAAAACCTCTTGGGAACAAGAAGAAAACAGTGTATGTGCTTTCTTAATTCGGAAAGTTTAAGAAGGGAGGAAGGGAGAGGTTTCCTGTTCCATGATAAGTTTCTCTTCTAGACCAGCTTAAACCTCTGAAGGGCGGCAGGTGGGGGTAAGGGGGAGAGAAGGACGTGGAATTAGGGAGATGGAGAGTCTGCTAGAATGGATAGGCTGATGATCTTGAACCAAGCTTAAATGTATGCTAACACTTGCACAGCTCCATCTACTTTCAAATTTAGGCTGGAAGTTAATGCCTTTGAGCTGTGCCTTTGAAAGAAAATGAGCATTTCTGAACTGTGTTGCAAATAAGTGTAAAGCTGTTGGTAAATATGAGAGAGCAGAGGCATCTCAAGACCATGCCTATATTTAAACTGTTCCTGACTTCTGTTAGGTACAGAGCAAGCCCCCTGTTGTAAGTATCTTCTTTCTCATCTCAGTCTTTCCCATCCTCCACGCTGCAAAGCGGTAGGCAGTAAGAAACCATTTGGTCTTAAGCACATACTTGAAGAGTTCCACCTACAGAAAACGTAGCTATAAAAAGCATGACCCTTCCCCTAAACTTCTTAAATCTTCCTGTCTGCCAAATGTGGCCATGTATTGATCTGGCTTTCATTGTAGTCACCCTGGTATAGCAGCACGCTAAAGATTTGAGTGTGTGTGTGTGTGTGTGTGTTGTTTTTTTTTTTTTTTTAAAGATATGCCTTATACTTACTGAGCTGAAAGGGTAAGCCTGCACCTGCACCATGACCCTCGCCTTCTCTGAATAATTTGAGACACCATCCTTCAGTCTTACATTTCATAGCCCCTATGAAGGAAAAGGAAGATGCCTCCCACATCATTCTTCCCTACTTCTCAATCACTGCTATGGGCCTAGATGCCTCTCAATGGGTTTTCCCCCACAGTTTGTACTTATGCTAATACAGAAGAAAATGTAAGGGCACAAAGAGAGCTGCAAGTCCTGAGGTTGAGCTGGAACTCAGCAGAATGAGAAAAATGCTAAGCTTCCGTGAGCTTTGGGTAATGCTCCAAAAACTGTAATGCTACATTTTGGGTGCCTGCCTTTAAGCAGTGATCCTAACAAGGGTAAATACGTTATTTCCTGGAAAAAAAAAAAGGGCTGTAATGATGAGTTCCTTTTTCTTCTGGGTCTCTCTCACACTTTGGTTACAGAACCTTAATCTTTCTTGCAATTTGTAGAAGTTTCATTTTCATTCCCATTTTTCCTAAAAGTAGAACTGTTGCTTGTTTGGACTGAAAGGTCAGTTGTGTCTCTTGTTAGCATGCCCAATATTAGCTTAAACACAGAGGCAACAGGGAAGTTAAATTTACTTTCTTTGTTTAACAGAAAAGAAATTTCATGATAGTAGAAGCAACAAAATTTCCTGATACACACAACCCCTGTTAGCGTGTCTTCCAGGAGCTAAATCAGGTAACCTGCACTGTGTCAGGTCAATGCAGCAACAAAGGCTGTAAGCCAGTGTGACACAGTAGACAGTTATTCAAGGATATTTTGTGAATATCACAGTTCATACAGAAAATGCTACCCTGTTTTCTCAGCCACCCAGCGTCAAAGAGGTTGTTGAAAGTCTGGCTAAATTCTCCACTCTCTTCAGGACATGCCTCCCAGCCTTTCCAGCTGCCAGCTTTCCTCATGAGACAGCAGTCATAATGCAGTGTTGCAGTTGGCACCTACTCATGGTTGGCATGTCCCCTCTAATAACAAAGTTTGACTTCAAAGCCCTCTTTTTTTTTTAAGGTAGAAATCTTATCCTAAGTAAAATACCTCCAGCTGTGAGCCACAAAGCACTTGCTGTGCAAGAGCCTATGCTGCGAAAAATCTTTCTACTTTGCCTTATTTTTATACTCCTGAGGCATCTGCTGTGAGCCATGACCAGATACAGAATAAGAACATAACAGATGGGTCAGATCAAGGATCATTTAGCCCAGTATTTCCACCAGTGGAAGCAGGAGCGAGCAAACCTAGCCACCATCTATCCATCCATTCTCCACGTACTGCTCCTGCATCCACAACTGCCATGTTAGGCATCTCAGAAGTAGCATCCCTGCACAGTCCTTTTACTACCTATCTAAGGACCTCTTGTTTATGGATTTGCCAAATCCTTTTTGAGCTTGCTCGTTCCCTCTGCCTCCATAACCTGCTGGGGCAGCAAATTCTGGCAGCTTACCACTTGCTGAATAAAGGAGCATTTTCCCTCATCTCTTTTCAACCAGTCTCCTGCTATGTTCATCAAGTGCCTCCCTGTTCCAGTACTGTGGGATTTGAGGCACAATGGCCTTCCAGGCCATTCACCTTATCCGTGGCCTTCATGACTTTGTCAGCATCGATCACATTTTCCCTCTGGTCCTTTTCCTCTTCTGCCTGGAGGGTTGCAGACTTTGTTATCATCTGAGCTGCAAGGAAGCTGTGCTATCCCCTTGATTATTCTCTGCTATCATGTCCTTCTTAAGTTGTGGAGACCAGCACCTCACAAAGTAGCTGAGATAAGGGTACAGCAAGGTTTCATACTGCAGCAAAACAGTGCTCTCTTCTCAGTACCTTTCCTCACGGCCAATCAGACAGTGGAACTTATATTTGTCTTGCTAAATAAGCCTCCTGGAGTTAAAAAGGGAGCAAGAAATAAGAAGCAATTTACATGTTCACAACATAGGTAGGAGGAATTTTTTGATTCCCTCTCCAAAGAGGGTCCAAATTTCAACAGCATAAAGAATTGCCAGATTTGAGAGACTGCAGATTATTTTGTATCTCATGTTTTTCTTTTTCTCTGTGTATGTGCAACTGAGCACTAGTTCCACCATGTGTGTTCCATGGCAATGTGACTGCAGCATTGCTTCATATGCTAGACATATGAATGGTGAAAAAGCTAAGGAGGGAATAAAAGATGTCCCTGTAAGGAAGAAGAATTAAAAGTTCAGTCCAGTGTGTGAGACCTCTGAGAGAGATATCTAGTATCTCATTTGCAATATGTGCCATGTAGTTCAGACCCACATAATATGCAAATGTATCAAAAATAAATCAAACAGAGGGGCCAATGACAATATAATTTGCTCCATGCAAATTAGGAATTTCTAGTGATGAGCCTTATTTATGAATAGAAGAGTTTTTAAAGAATTCTGTGGTTTGGGATGAAGCATTAGATTCCGCTATTTTTCTTTTATCTGCCTTTATCCCTCTTGGCCTTTATACTGACATAAATGATGAGTTTAACAAAATAGAAACAAGTATAACAAAATCACTTCACATGCGAAAAATAAATTCCTTGGAAGATATTTTTCCAGATGATCTCTCTAGACAGCTAGCATCTAAACTCCCATCTGAAGGTTTACAGTGATTTTCTGCATCATGACCTGAAACTCAGAGTACAAGCACATCCTGATACAACCTCTCTGAAGCCTGCGTTTCAAAAAAGTATTTACTCTTTTTTTTTTTTTTTTTTTCTCTCATGACCATGAGCGGAACCACAAAGAAAACAGTATTGTCTCCCCAGTACTTAACCTTCAGGGACTGGGCCCACAGCATGAAGTCCAGAGCCCAGAGCGAGGTGAGCAAGCTCAGCCGAAAGCGCGTGGTTTGGAAATGGAGACGGTCGGCACGCGGAGCGGAGAACCACCCCAGGCAGCCCACGCTGCACACCAACTGTCTGTCGGGGCCGGCAGGTAAAAGGGGCTAAAACCGACAGTTCCTCCCGGGAGCTGGCAGACATACTTTTCCTTTCGGGAAAACCGGAGCTGAGCTTACCATCTCAAAGCACGGCCAAAGGAGGTGACAGTGTATTGATGGCTCCCACCCTGCGTCGCGTGAACTCTGAGGGCTGGGGTCAGATCGCTCCACCGCGGGAGGGTTTCCAATGCCTGCCTCCCGCCTCGGTCCTCCGAGTGAGGCTGCAGGGAGGAAGGGATGTATTTGTCATGAAATGGTTACAGCTTAAAACTCAGTCTCAGGTGCAGAGACCAGAACTGTCCCCTCCCTCAGCTGGACGCCTAAGCGTTAGGCTAAGGAGACCTGTTCAAACTTGCATAGCCTCTCTTTGGCCTGATGCATCTTGAATCTTCTCTTTTTATTTTTATTTTGATTTTGGCAGAAGGCAAAGAGGGATCTAGCAGATGCAATCTTTACATTTAGCTTCTTTCCATTTACAAGGACTTTTTATTCTGTTACAGGGTGCTTTTTTTGCCCTGCGAAGGAAGAGGAGTTACTCCAGAAGAAATATAATTCCTCCTACATGCCTTTGAACAGACCTGCTTGTTTGTTCTCCCCATCTTGAGTGCCAGCCCCTGGGAGATGCCAAGAACCCACATCTCTAGCTGAAGTCAGGACCAGGTCCCAAAACCCCAGTCTCGCACTCTTCCCACTGAACAGCTGGAGCTAACTCGAGCTAACACTGCTGCTGGTGAGTGAACAGGGACAGTTTTTGCATAAGGATGAACTGTTTTTGAACAGTTTCCCCAATGTCCTGGACACAACGCTCCTTTTCTTCTTCATCAGGACTCTACGTCTGCTGGCTTCTCAACTTTTTTTTTCTTTTAAACAAATATATGCATTGTTGCTTATGCAGGGAAAATTCCACTTTCTAATAAAGGGGCTTTGCCAGAATCCGAAGGCTCAGAATATCCCTTTTCCACAGGCAGCGCCTTCCAGAATTCACAGATATATCTTTCTTTCATAAACACAAATAGTTTTTATTACACATTTTTAAACGATCTATAAAATCTCCAGCTAGAGCCGTGTGGCTCCTTTCCCAGCCCATGACTTGAGCATTGCTAGGGAAGGAGATCCCCAGAGCCTGGGTCAGGGTGAGGAAAGAGCAGTTAAGTGCGCTCAGTTGGGCCGTTCCTGCTGCAGTGCTCCCTGTTTCTCTGGCCAGTCCAGCTTTAAGCACTTTGAGTAATGGGGTATTTGCCATTTCCCTTAGAGGAGCACTGCAACACTCAGTCAAACATTGTTTAAGTAAGTTCATGGT